ACTTCTACATGTGCTGACCTCATTATCTGAAACTTATCTGGTTGTGTTCAAAAACATCATATTACACATATATATGTCAAGAAAATGATGTAAGGCAGAGCAGGCCCACTTCAAAATCCTAAATACTTAATATTAGGTCTTCCTGAATCTGGCTATGTTATGCTCTATATACAAAACTCATATTTTTGAAAAGAACTAGAAAATTACAGTCGCCTACAACGAGGTCAAAAACACTCAGTGGTTCCACGTCCACTCTTCATCCTGCCCTGAAACGTCTTCATCAGTACAGTCAGAGTTCAGCTCATCTCCTTCTACAAACCCCGGGTAACCGTCATCACTTCCTTTCTAAAACTCGTACGGAGACACGAACAGGGTGACCTTGGTGAGGTAGCGGCCCAGCAGGGTGTTGTCCTCCAGCTCGCTCATCTCCACCTCGGCTTCTAGCGCGGCCGGCCCCTTGATGGGCGTCACCAGGAGGAGGGTGCCCGTCTGTCTGCCCGAGCGCTGCACGCCAAAGTGGCCCCGGCCGCGTCCGCCGGCGAGGCCGAATCGCAGCGTGTCGCCCAGCACGCGAGCGGCAGACACCCGGAAGAGGATGCGCGGGGCGGACATGTTGGACACTACAGAGAGGAAGTGGAAGGAGATGGAGTTTGGTGCCTGAGAGCATTGCTTGTCTCCCAGCATGCACGGGTTCCTCTCACACCGCCTGAAGGAACACAAAGAGGGTAAACATGATTGGTTTTTAGTTATTCACAGGCTTCAGTCATTGTTATGGAACAACCGGCCTGCTTTCTGTCCTAATCTAAGATGAACGAGCACGAGGCCTCAGGGCTTCAGCTGCCCTCAGCAGCACTGAATTGGATAAATGAAAAAGAAGATTTCAACATACTCAATTACAGAAGGACAACTAACTAACATGTGATCAAAAAGATTTTCTAAAACGGGCTCACTTCTCCTTAAGACCATCTTTTTGGACCTGTCCAGACAGCGTTCAGAAAAGCGTCTACTTTTAAAGCGCTACATGGACCCTGTGATGTCACCTCACACTTGAGGGTTATTGCAATCATAAAGAGTGCACCGTTCCCAAGCCTGAATGTGGCCTCATACATTCACATGCACTGCTTAAAAAATCAAAAATCAAATCAAATCAGTTTTATTTATATAGCACTTTGGTCAACAGTTGTTGTTTTTAAAAGTACTGTACAATAGAAAAATCAGGTAACAAGCGACACTGCAGAGGTTCTTGTTCTTGTCCATGCTTTTGTGTCCTCACCAGTGTTGGTCAAGTTACTTGAAAAAAGTAATCAGTAACTAATTAC